AGACGGTTTATCAGTAGTTAGACGCACGCTACACTTTTTAGATTAAAGTACTGAGTCTCGCCATTACACTTTTTTTGCGCGTTATACATGTCGTCCAAGAGCGAGAGGTTCCCGATAACTTGTCCAGATACACTTTTATTATTATCACAACGTGAGACAATCGCGCGCGATAAAGGAAACTTTTAAATGTCTTAAATTACATATATTTGGTTTAAATAAAGAGAATTTAGATTTAAATAAATATGTTAATGGCACCCATCAAAGAAATATTTGTTGATTTTAAGGTAATTTTTCCCTCAGTGCGTATCACATTCTATATGACATCATTTTGAGTACATTTCGATAATTTCTTTTATTTTCCTATCTCTATTTCATCATTCTTTACAATAAATACGAGCGCCGAATAAACCACTCGTAAGGGATGCGCAACCTTTACAGATCGACTAGTAAAAAAGCTGCTGTCAAACCCACGTACACCTGTCTACCTGGGAAAGATCAACGAGCGATCGATCGGAGAGAGTCTGAGAGTCGCCGGCGCGATTTGCATCGTCACTTGGCCGGCGCGCAGGAATAGCGAAAGTACGCGATGTGTCGTGAAATGCATTAGTTATCTCATTCGGCCGTAACCTCGAGAAAGCAACTTAACACGCCGGGGTTAACGAGCTGTGCCGCGTACGGCGGGAGCTCGCGCGACTGGCGAGCGAGCGAGCGAGCAAACGAACGAGCGAGCAAATTGGATTATCGAACCGCGCGCGTTGTATTCCACCTGTTACGAATACCGGACAGCGCATAAAATTAGGCGCGACCGGGAGTTACATCGATCGCAAACGCTACTATCCCGCTGCATCTCTCCGCGCGTTGCATTGCGCGAGGCGCAGTTCGGCGGGCACGCGTGTACGAGAATAATCTCGACGCTCGCATTTCACACGACAACACGGCATTTCGCGAGGAGGAGGAGGAGGAGGAGAAAAAGGATCCGCGAGCCAAGAGACACCGTCGCGAATACGATGTGTTTACGCATAGGCCATAATATCGCGCGGATCTGACGTGCGATTCGAGGGCCGAGTCGGGAGATCTTGATTTTCGTTCGTCGACGTGGAATCCGCGACAATCGTACCGATCGCGCGACTTTCGTAAATACGACCGGTTTCGAATATTTCGGCAACACTTCGTATCCGTCATTCGTACGAATTCAATTTGTATACAACGTATTTATGTAACGTACATCATTACGTTTGGAATCTCGTGAAATTACGTGCCATTTCGACCCGATAATTACACACACATTAAGAAAAAAATGTTTAGTACTTGTAACTATAATCACATAAAAAAAGAAATAATCATTATAAATAATGATTCTACTATAATGTTAGTGATAATAACCTTATATTATATGCATGTTACTACTATCATTTTTGTGTTAGAACAGTCAAAAAATATAGTTATACCAAAAAATTTTTAAGTATAATTACATTAACTATAATTTTAATAAACTATAATTTTAGTTAGATCAACCGTTCTTTTTTTCAATGCAAAAAAGTATCCTTCTACACAGAAAGAAAAAACATTTATTTTTTAGACACTAATAACATATTTACTTGCACTAATATTACATATGTTTATACAAAGAAAAATATTGTTCAAATAAAAAAATATATATTTTCTTAAAATCTCAGCTCTCTCTCTCTCTCTCTCTCTCTCTCTCTCCCCCTCCCTCTCTCTCTCTCTCTCTCTCTTTCCATGAAAACAATTCTTTATTCTATTTAAAAATCAAAATATTTATATTTAAGTAAATATGTTATTATCCTTTTTATTATTCAATATTCTTGATGAAGATAATAAACTTATTAGAACTCCAAATGTGTTTTAAACTTGATGTGTGTGATGAACTTATGAAATAAATTCGTGAAATATCATTCACTTGAGCGCAGCATGTATCTTTCTTGGTATCACTTATCACGCTCGGCACAGTGATCTTTTGTCAATTCAACTACATTAACATTAAGCTTGTTAATTAAACCGCGTCGAGAATGGGATATTGCATTAGTCGCGTTTCCCACTAGAAAAGTGGGATACCAATTTCTCGAGGAGAAATATTTATTGTAAATGAAATTCATAAAAACGTGTATGGAGTACGATTCTCAATTCGCGGTGAATATGAGGCTGATAATTAAGCCGTGGGATTACACTTATTTTCCAGTCCGGTAGCTATTTATCGCGTCAATTTTAATTCCGAACGCAGGCTTGCTCGCCCGCTCGTTCACTTGCTCGTAACTGTTATATTTTCGTGCCTTTTACGTAAAATTTCCTTTTTCCCCTTCTTTATGTCCATATCTTGCCGGCGATATAATATCGCGCCACGACGTGTAAACGCATCGCGCCGTTAGCCTCGCTCGCTTGCGCCGCGAGATAATTCTCCTTGCTACGATAATTAAACGCACGATGTATTTCCCGAGGCGTGTATCGATTCACGTCCCTGTATCTCGAGGAGTCTCCTCTCGCCGCGCTATAATAATCCCCGAAGCTCTCCGTCGCGACCTTCGAACCCGTCGCGTTTATCGCGATGAATAAAAGAATTATATTACGGATGCGCACGGCCGCGCTATCACCGTCTCCTCGTCGTCGTCGTCGTTCTGTAAAAAGTTCGACAACGCGTAATAAAGGAGAAGATAAAAAAAATATCTAAGTATCGACGAAGTATCGAGAATTGGAACGCGCCGCCTCACTTCGCGGACGAAGAGACGGAGGAAGTCGCGCATCGCGCGACTGCAGAGTTAAACAACAAATGTGTCGATTACGGGCCCCAACGCCGCGCGTTGGCGTTAATTAAACTTTCTTTCTTCCACTATCAGCGTGTTATCTCTCAGGCGCATCGGCCAGTTAATCTCTCTCCCTCTCCCTCTTTTTTTTTCTCCCGCTTCGAGAAGATAAAAAGAACGCGTCATCTAAAAGCAGTCATCTATCAAACTTTCCATTAATTGCACAATGGATTCTGGCCTCACAAATTCCGCGCGAAGAATCCCGATTGCGATGCGTTTCTTCCAAGTCGGAGCTTTAATTCAAACAGAGAGGGGAAAAAGGTAAAAATAATCAATGCCTAAACATTAATGATACTAGTATCCGACTCTGAACATTCTTATTGCTTTTAAATACGAATATAAACGTGGGATATAGGTATATATTGAATATATATATATATATATATCGCGTATCCCCTTTCTTCCTATATTAAAGGTTTAAATATTCGTATTTAAAAACCAAAAAAGTAAGAATGTCCCAAGTTGCGTAACAATGTTAATAGTATGCAAACATTGCTATTTTTATCTAAACTGTGTCCGAAAATGTGCATCGGCGGGAGCATTGGTCGATTTCGCGATAGTTGATTACGATTAATCGAGTCCAAGTGATCGACGAAATCATCGTGTTTCCGTCGTCGCGTCGCGTGACGAATTTCGCGATACATATCGACCTATTCGTGCATGCGTCAACGAAGATCGCAGATACAGACGTCGTCGCCACTTTATTTTTACACACACGTGCTAAGGCGTCTGTCACTTCGCGTCGCCCGCGCCACGAATTCGCCACGAACTGCAAACGAGAGTGACGTCTCAATTAACGCTCCTGGCTGCTCGCGCTCTCCTTCTACCTCTCCCATCTCTCTTTCATTCTCTCTTTGTCCCCGCGACTCTGGACACAGCATTTCGAAGGATCTCCAGCGAGAGACGGCAAAAACTCCAAATCTTTCCAGAAACAGCATTCTATTTGTAGCACGAGGGACGACGCGGACAGCAAAGCAAGAAGGGGGAGAAGGAGAAGCAATAGAAAAAATATGCAAAGTCGGTGCTGAGGAGAGTTTCGAGAGACAAGGAGAACAGGAATGTAAACGTTCCGCATTCCGAAGCCCTTCTACATTCGGACATCTTTAAATACCTTCTACCTCATTGCATTGTAACGACATGTCCCGCTATTCGACAGACCGATCTGTCTGCGGCAAGGACAAAGTCGTTGAAATTTACTTAAGCCGAGCGATCGTCGGTCAACATTTGTTCCTATGATTCAACAGCACAACTGCTCGCGAAATAATTTCGCGAGTGCAAATAACGGAGCAAGTGGACGAGTATTTTCGAAAGCCAGGAGAAGCAGTGGGAGCGAGAGAGAGAGAAAAGACAAAAGGATTAGCGACAGCTCGCTCGCGCGTTAAAGACGCATGTAGACTGTTGTCTACGAGTCGTCCAGGAGTCTCAGCGGAGTTAAAAACATCTGTGCGCGACGACGAGTTAAGTGTCCCCGTGATCGCCTTAGCGGCGCGTTTTCAACATCGTTTTGCAGTGAGCTTCCCGAGAGCACTGTGCTCTACGATACGCGGTTACTGTAGAATGTAGCTGATTGCGCGCTCGATAAGCGAGCCAGCGATTCACCACGTATACACACATGCGCCCACGCACTCACGCGTACTGACTGCTGAAGAGCTACGCGCACCAGCTTCGTAATCGCGCGCGTTAGGATTAGAAACGGAGTGATCGAGAACGAGATCTTGCTGTGAAATCCCATTCCGACAGTGCGTTTCACCTTTTGATCCGCCAATGATTGAATACGAGAAAGCTCTGTGAGAGAGAAGGGACTTTCGCGAACAGAGAGATAACGAGTCCTTGTCCCTCGTTTCATTTCGGAGCAGACTTTAGCTGCGCGGAGTCTCGACATGTCACGCTTTGATCAGCAAGATTCGCGATGTTCGAAACCGCGATTGCGTATGAGTTAAATCGAACAGGTCGCGAAATCCGCGGATATGCGAAGCAGCGCAGGCTTATTCAGCACTCTGTACACACGACGCACAACACACACATACACGCACACGCGGAGGGGCACGACGCGTGCAAGGAGGCGCGTCGTCCGCTCTCACGTGGGCCACTACGTAAAAAACGCACAGAAGGTAGAGGTACTTAACGAGCAGAAGGGGAGAGGCAGGGGCAGGTCGTCGTTTATAGCTGGTCCAAGGATACAGTTTGATAACATCCGTGTCCATACGTCGCTTGCCGGCGCTGGGGGACGACATATTTTATCGATGCTGATCGTCCGGCTGTGTTTGGCAGGAGTCCCTCCTTGCGCCCCGCAGCGCTGCTAGCGTCCACCGCCGCTTCCTCCTCCGTCTCCGCCGCCTCCTTCTCCTTCTCCTCCTCTGGCTCGCTGCGCGTGGATCAGCTGAGCCCGATCACAGGCCGCCGTGCCCGGGTGGGCCCCCTGGATGGAGCGCCTCACGGATACCTTCCGAGGACACCCTTAGCGCGAGGGAGAGAGCAGCCCTCGCGGTCGTACTTGAGCACTGTGGCAACGCACTTCTGTTCCCGACGATGTAAACCAAGCGTTATATTCAGCGCACCGTGTGACAGAAAAAGAAAGAAATAGAGAGAAAGAGATATAGTAAGAGTGAACGAGAGAGAGAGAGAGAGAGATAGAGAGAGAGAGAGAGCGAGCGAAAAGGAGGGAGCGCTCGGTTAAAGAGAAAAAGAGACGCGCGCACACACAGAGAGAGACGGATATGCACACATTCAGCGACGAAAGGACGGACGAACGGACGGAGGCAAGGGAAAAACAAAGAACGCGCTCGCAAGCACGACGATCGACCAGTCGATCGACCGGATCCCGCAGCGAGGACGCCCTAACGAAGGGAGAGAGACGCGACGCGATTTATAATCCGACGCGAGATGAAACGTCATAGCGCACGACTGTCCGTTCGTTTGTCTGTGTCTACCGTGTCCCGTCTCTGTCCGTCTGTTCTTCCGTCCTTCCTTCCCGTTCGTTTTGCTCCGCACGAAGCGCGTCGTAAGCGTGCGTGTTTCACGTACGTGTCCGTCTCTTTGTGTACACGTTCCTCGCGAGCAATCCGTCTCACTCTCTCTCTCTGCCTCCTTCTCTTTCTCTCCCTTGCTCGTTCTCCCGAAGAAGCTCGTAACTACCCAGACAAGAGTGGTCGTCCTGCTCCTCCGTCACCTCCTGTTTCACACGTTCGCCTCCTCCTCGTCCTCGTCGGCCTCTTTGTCGTCCGGGCCAGGCCAGAAAGCACGAGGCTAGCGGATCATTTCGTCACCGTCGATGACGAGCCCGTTCGTCGACTAGCCGTGCTCTCTCACTCGTGCCAGTCGCTTTGCCCGTCTCTCTTTCTCTCTCGTTCTTTTTTCCTTGCTGTTTATTTCTCTCGCTTGCTCTCTCTCTCGCGCGCGCGCGCATACACACAGAAAAAAATTCGTCCCTGCCACAGAGAGAGAGCCTATGCCACCGTCGTCGCGTAAATGCTTGTTCTTCCTCTCTCTCCCTCTCTCTCTCTCTCTCACTCTCGTGCACCCCGCGACCTGTCAATCCACGGTCTTCACCACCATCTGATTACGTTCTCGTCGCTTGCACACTGGACTCTCCTATCCGACCGACGCTGCTGCCTCCGACGAGCGATAGCAGCGATGCTCCACGCATGCGCAACGCGGTCACCTGTGCCCTCGCATTTGAAGTTAGGCACTTCCTCTAACATATTGGCTATGTTCAGCGAACACAATGGTTAAGCAATCTATTTTCGGAAAAATGGATATTATTGGTGATTCTATAAAAGTATACACCAGTCATAAATCATTTTTAGTCAATCATGTTCGCTGAACGGGACCATTGTATATACCAGTTAAAAAATACAAAATTATATTATTACAAAATTATATTAACATCATATAGCTTGTATTATTTACTTTTTGATAGAGTATATATCTTTTCGCACGTGTTAAACATTTGCGGCTCTCGTGCACGGAAACTTTAAGCTCTCTTTCGATCTCTTTCGTTTTTATCAAAATCATAGATTTGTAACAGTGACCAACTACCGATTCGTTGGTAGTTACGCATATCACGTTACGGCGTTATTGCGTACAAGATTCTCTATTATAAAACCTAATAATAATACGTCTATTCAAAAACACGCGAAATTATAGAAGAGAAAACCTGTCTTCCAGCTGTCAAGCAGTCTTGAATCCCGACGAGATTCACTTCAGACGCGGAGACATGCGACACGGTATCCTGGCCACGCCGCCATATTCTTTACGAATGTAGCAGGAATACGAATTTGAATTTCAATCGCTCTGATTCAATAACGTGAAAATTACACGCTTACATACAATCGTGGCCAGATGTATTGCCCACTTTTGTTTCCATAAATTCTGGAACGTATACGTCTGGATAAGATAATAATTATATTTAGGAAAAATATACAATAAATATTTGAATGTTGAAATGTCACAATACTTATTATCGATTATCTATAAAATCTTCTGACATACTCTACATATATCGACTTGAACATTTACTCTATTAGACGTGTCGTATATATATCGCACAAACAGCAGAAATATAGCTACAACAAATCTATTTATTTAAAAAATGTATAAAAATTACTAAATTATAAAATGTCGCTCAATATAAAATAGTTGTACAACATTATGTCACATATCGGAATTACTTATAAATATAATTACTTTCGGTACAATACGCAGTTTGTTTTCTCTTCGGTAGCTAAAGATCATAATTAACGGTGAAATTATATTAATCATTAACAAAAATTATTAAAGGGCTTTACATATAATTAATCGTTGAATCACTATTGAATTGGTAATCCGAGAACTGATTACTTATAAAAGCGAAATTATCACCCATAAACTTCATCTGTGTGTATGCCTAGTTTAAATATTATTATACTATTTCAGTGATTAATATGCACTAACGTTAAAGATAATCGAGAAATATGGAGAAACTTTATTGCACATTACTTATCAAATGCTACCTTGTAATCTAAAGTACTTTCTATAAGTACTGCGTTAAGTATCTCAGTGTTAGATTAAGTACACAGGATGGTATGTAAAATGTCATTGAACAACTTTTGATTTCACCTATAAATTTTTGTAAAAATCTCTATGCAGTGCACGCGTAAGTTGAAAGACTTGCATTAATATTGTATGTGTGTATAAAATAGTATAGTATGCTTAATAGAATGCTGAAGTATATTTTTAGATGATGGACTTAAATAAGTTGGCACATAATTTCTATATAGATTTTTTGCATTCGAAATGTATGCCACATTATATAAGTATAATGAATACTGATTCCTAATACTATTAATCGTAAGCGAATGCAATGTGTTGCAAATGATAGATGAATGCCCAATAATGATATGTATAATAATACGAGATTTTTATAATTTTAATAATGAATTAAGAGTTACTTTCTTCATGAAGGATTCCTGCCTCCGTTCACATCGTATGCATAATACATGACAAGTAATAAGCATCTTACGAGTTCTTAATATAAATTTCATTGTCTAAATCTACTCGTTATATTACCGATTAATTACAATAAATTTTATACGAATATTTTATACTTGCAACGTTTCGGTAAGTAAGTATGGAATGCTGCAATATATAAAAAATTTTCCCTACTAATTTAACTAATCATATAAATATGCGATTCTCACAGCTCTTATACTAACAAATGAGTTACGTGGTCAGATTAAAAATTATCGAAAGAATATTAAAACGTTTATTTTAATATATACTATCAATGCTATATGCTGTCAGCATTGTACTAACCTTTGTTGCTCTTTGTTGCTAACCGAATGAAACAATGGATATTGCATTGACAATAAATGCAGAATATAACTCACATATTCTCTTTTTTATACTTTTAAAAGTATATAATTGCTGAAGTTTCCTAAATTTGTAAAAAATATATTGAAAAAAATTCCTCGATTTTCTTATTTGGCGAAAAACTTAATTAAGAAAGTTCATCGATGTATTCGTTAAAAAAACAAAATATGTCTCATCTAGTAGTATAAGCTCTGCGAATGAAGATTCTCTGACTCAAGAAGTCTATATATGAAGTAATATAATAATATACATACATATAAAATCATAAATCCTATTTGAATCATAAAGATTAGCTGCTTACTTAGTAAAGTCATTTCATCTCATTCGAGCGCAACTTTCGAAATGTTTGATTGTCTTATTACATTATATTCTTAAATATTTAATTTTAACTGTTGAATGTCGTTTTGTATTTTAATCTACATGTACACATTGCATTATATGCTATATATAAATATCTATAAATAATATGTATATAAAAACAACAGATCATATCTCAAATGTATCTCAGAATTTGTGCTTATAACTGACGACTTATAACACATAGTGAGATGAAATGACCTTCTTTTTATCATTTTATCATATACAATATGATTCTACAAAGAAGTATACAAAAAACATCGGAAGCAATAAATAATCGAATTTGGCATATAAAATTGCGTTACTATAAGAGTATTATCAGTCAGTGTGTTGTGCCCCTAATAAATAGTGAAAAATCTAAATCCAATCCTACTTACAAAAATTTTACCTATAACAATTAAGTACATTAAGTGTAAGAGTTTGTTAATCTCCTCCTGTTTCTTACAAATATACACAGATATAAATATGTACTTTAGTCTACTGTTGCTTTTCGTGCAAACGCAGTTAAAGACAGCATTTCGTTTGGATCAGTTGGCAAGGGAGAGAATTCGATTTCTTCGCTAACACTATTTTCTGAAAAAACAATGTGCTATATTATTTTACAAACGTAATAAATATATTATTAAAAATTAAAAATATGATATTAATTTGTATAAAATTAATTATTTAATTAATTTGTAGAAAATAAAAATTAGAAGTTCTAATGTTAACCACACACTGCGTATGCAGTATTCTATTACATAAATTTCAAATAAAAATGAGAAATGAAACATGAGAAATGAAAAATAAAAAATACACTTTCTACATATAAATTTGTAGAAAGTTTACTTATCAATTTTTACATATATTTTTTACATATCAATATTGATTAAAAAATAAAGTTAAATAAAATGTTCAAATATAAACTCAATTATTTATACATACTATGTACAAAATAGCAAAACTTGACAGGGAGATGTTCAATTACGTTTTCACGTATAAATTGAAATATTTATATTCTTACCAAATTAATAAGAATTTCTGTATTCTTACCAGATGGTTCAATTGGCCATTGCTTGTGAGAAGGCGCGTAGAGACACAATAATGCAATGATGTAAATATTCCACATTCCATACACACCAGTAAAAAAGGCAGAAGTCATTTCCAACTGTAATTCATCATCCCATTTCCATTGACCTTCTGCAACCTATCCCAAAAACATTAAATATAATTAATAGCAACCGTATGGGATGTAAAATATGTATTTAAATAAAAAGTCTTAGTGGCTTCTTACCTGTCCTAATATAAAGCCGATAACAGTCAAAGATGCGCATAATAACGTAGCTATCATCAAAAATTTGAAACGATAGATAACTCCTTCATAATGCAAACGTCGTGCCGAACTCATGCTTGGTAAAACTGCTCTCTTCGCACTAATATTTGTAAATACTTTCCATATCATATAAGACAGAAACAGCAGATATACTCCTGCCGATATGCCAGCCAAGATAATAAAAGACAGCTGTTATTCGTTTAAGGAAATCAATTCAATGAATTATTTAAAAAATTCTGTTATCAAGTTAAATGTTATATAAAATGTTATATAAAAAGTATTCTAGAAAAAAGAGGATACTGCTAGCTTTGTTCCAACATCGGTTACCCAAATCGAGTAGAATGGATTTCTCAGTTGTACACCGCGTTCGCACATATCAAAGACGAACAGTGAAAGACACCCGGTTCCGACTGCTGAGAGATGCCGCCAGTAACACTTTAATGAATTACTTTGTTCACCCTCCTAAAACGTATATTATAAAATCATATTATTTACAATAACATAAAAATGTTGAGAAAAAATAAAAAAGCACTCACCTGAATCTAATGAAGAACGTAAAATCCACACATGAAAGAAACAAAAAAGAATGTGTCACCTATAGTTATAATCGTAAAAGATGATGTTTTTAAACGACAAAAACGTTATTCTTACCATTAGATGTTCACCAGCAAATACAAGCCAGAATGACAATAATGTTGCATAAAATACTCCTTGTCGAATATCACCCAACAGAAGCATAAACGGCATATCATAAGCGAGTGTTAAATATTCCAATGGAACTAAAAATACAATAAAACAAAGATTTATAAATAATAAACGATATAAACAATAAAATATAAATGATGTTACAGAAAAAATGTAGTTGACATACGATTTAGGAATGTCAAGGCAGAACCCAAAGCCAAGAGCATGTATTCCAAAAGTGCGGGTGGTCTGGATAGCATGTGCACTCTTCTCCAGTACCAAGCTAAAACACCTAGTACTATTGGGAAGTAAATAGTCTTTAAACTCACCCACACTTTCGTGAATCCTCCATTTTGATTAATAGCCTATATCACAAATAATGCATTAGATAATTTTCATCATAAAGCAAGTCATTTAATAAGAATTATTACAAAGATTTCATATTCTGATGTACTTACTGTAAGCCATAAATCAACAATGTGCCCTAATCCTTGATTGATATTTTTGTCAGTGTCAGCAGGAAGACGAATATTTAACAAATAATAATCATGATACAAAGATCCCAACTCAAATAATGGTACAACGACACAATTATAATTATATTGGTCTTGTTTCTGCAAGAAAATTATAAAATTAAAAATTTATATTTGACTAGCTGTAACTTCAAATCCTGCAGACAATTATGCATTAATGATAATAAGAAAGAAAGTTTATTCACATTATCTATGCTGCAATCCAAGATTCTCTCTACAATAGAAGCAGCGTATGGTTTCCATGCATTATCTGGATCTCCCTTATTTCGATATGCTAGTCGTGCATCCAGTGTGATTTTTGTCCTAGAAGCTATAGAAGAGAAAAATTAATGAAATTACAAAGATTTATCAAAGTCAATGGAAATCTCAATAGCAGCAAATACATTACCAATTTCAATCTGGCTGTTATAAACTATGTCCACTTGTAAAACACCTATTAAATTTTGCTGCCATCTTGAATAATCCAGTTGCATGCTGTTGCGTGGAACAGGCATCTATAAATAAAGATTTTATTATTTTCCACTTTGTAATAATAATAATATAATTTAATATATAAACAATTTAATAAAAATAAACAAATAATTATTATTAACAGATAATTTTAACCTATTATTATTTTATTATACCTGAAATGTGTACACAACTTGATAAGCTTGATGATGACTATCTGAACTATAGCGATTTATATCAACTGGAGTACAAGCATCTTTTCCTCTTGAATAAAACCACTTGTTCCCACCAAGCTCAGATCCATTGATACGAATGTCCTCACATGGTGTACCAAGAATGTTTTGACTACTCGCAGGAGTAGGTGCTAAAAAAAAATATATATATTAGCCCATACTGGTTTATACAAAATATAAATATATAGTATGCTAAATTTGCCTTACCTTTTTTCCATTTTAATTGGATTAATTCATTAATTAGGACACAAACTGATCAGTATATAAGCAAAATGAAGAAGAAAAGCACAATATAATACAAAGATAACAATAACATGGTCTTGAAATATATTTCTTAAAAAGCTAAAGCATAAACATGTAAAATATAAAAAAGAAATAGAGAATAAATATAATGTTTCTGTAAAATATAAAAAAAACAAAGAATAAATATAATGTTTCTGCAACATCTACTATTATATGAAACAAAATAATCATACAAATAAAAATACGTAATCTAAAACGCAAATACTCGATTATTTAAAGCATTACTTACCAATTAAGCCACCTATAAGGAAGCAAACTACTTGTGCGATTATTAAAAGCACAACTAGCACTGATAGCTTTTTGCCGCTCAGGTTTTCGATTATAGTGCCCTGCATTTTTTCAGCTATTACGACAGTAGCACGACGAGCTACGACAAATTCGCGTTACAAGATAATTTTTCAACAGCACATGAACGCCGAAACTGTCTGACCCGGCCGACGCGCAAACAATAAACGTTTCGATCGTCTTTCAAAATGGAAGCCAACGCAATACCAACGTTAGCAAGCCAAATTTGGAGTATTGAAAGATTTCTCATCTACGACGATAAAACAATTTCGTAAGATATGTCCAGATTGGTGCACAATGTTACATTTTAATAATAAAGATAAAATAAATATATAAAAGAAAATAGGGAAAAAAATTTTAAACAAGAGCGTGTATAACCAGAAGTCTATTTGACCCGCTATTCAGACCCGCTGCGTTAGGATATTCACACTACCAAAGCCATTATTCTTGAAATAGTTGCATATACGTAAGTTTTACTGTGCAGCTATTTTATGGTACGATTAAACCTGCACAGTAAAACTTACGTATACGCAACTATTTCAAGAATAATGGCTCTGGTAGTATGAATATCCGAACGCAGCGGGTCTGAATAGCGGGTCAAATAGACTTCTGGTTATACACGCTCTTGTTTAAAATTTTTTTCGAAATTATCGCAGGAGGATTCACGAAAGTTTGAAATGTGTTGACAACCTTCGATATCTAATAGTTTATGAGATATGAGAAAATTAGAAATATAAGTACATTTTTGTAAACATTATGATTTTCTCATTTTTCACCTTCGCATAATAATTCAGTATTTGATTACTATCAATATTTAATATTAATTTTATTATCAGTATTCACCAGAAATTAAGTATTGGCCAAAAAATTACTGAATTACTGGTAATATTTAATCACTAATAATTTTTCAGTATTTCTTAGTATGATATTTCTATAAGGGCGCTAATATAAAATATATATTTTATGCAAGTTAATAGAGTATACGCAATTTAATTTAATTTAATTTAACACTATTACAGACTATTGTTTACAGTTTGTTTACAGTTTGTTTACAGTTTGTTATTACAGACTATTGTTCCTTCATCCAGACAATCAAGTTCTTCGCAATCTAGTATTTTAGCTCCCGGCTGTTCCGTCGTAGTACTTTGAATATTTCTTGTTTTTGTTATATGGCTATTGGATACTCCAAAATATAACTCCATATGTTATTTGTATTCTGAATATTTACTTGGAGCCGTCCGTCCGTCCGAATTGGTATACAGGCCTTTGAAAGTGGCCCTTTCACCATTAGTAATTCCCTTATAGAAATATTATACTAAGAATCATTGATAATTACTTATTTTCAGTATTAAAAATACTGGATAATAAGTAATTATCAATGATTCTTAGTATGATATTTCTATAAGGGAAAGATAAGTATGAATGATTAATGATGAAGGTCTTGGCAGGTTCCAAGGCAACTTCCAAAAATCACTGGTCTGAACTTATTCAGACACGTCTTATCGTGTCGGCGGTTAAACCGAAACTTATTTACTTGGAGCAATAACACGAATACGACAAACATACGATACTTTTTTCGGAACTCCCGACTGTCCGTTTCGCGCGCTTATTCGACGATATAACGACAAATACGCAAGACTTATGGAGGATACACATTGCGCCCGATATCCGATATCCAATAGGATAAAAATGTCGCTAGCTAGAAACTCTAACAAAGGAACTCTACTATTGAATATCGTATCGTCGTATGCAGGATATCAGACGCAGTGTGAAGTATTATTTTCGGCATTTCTAGCGATAATTTGGATGCGAACCTGGCATTCAACGGACCAAAATCGCGAAAACTACAGGACGATTCATTAGATACATAAATTGCGTAAGCTTGGTCGTAAAGGTCGTGGCACACAGAAGAACTTAAGCAGTAAGACGTAAGCAGTAAGCAAATTGACCAATCACAGTCGTTGATTCTTCTTACGGTCCAAGAATCAACGACTGTGATTGGCTGATTCGCTTACTGCTTACGTCTTATGGCACACAGGACGCGGTAATGCTTGTCGCGCGGCGGAAGATCGCGCGACAGCTAATCAATATGTTGTTTTTCCGTAAGAGCTAGAAGGTTATTACAGAAAGCATCATATTGATTGGCTGTCGCGCGAACTTCCGCCGCGCGGCAAGCATTACCGCGTTCTGTGTGCAGGAGCCATTATTGCTTAAGTTTTTTCTATGTGCCACCAGCTTAAGGCTGATATTTCACGTGTCGTACGACAAGCTTTTTGGATACGTTCATTGGTTGACAAACGGAGAACCTAAAAATACTCTACTCGCCAACCAATAAACGTATCCGAAAAGCTTGTCGTATGTAAAATAGCACCCTAATGGCTCTTGCACACAGGACGCGGTAATGCTTGCCGCGTTCTGTGTGCAGGAGCCATTATTGCTTAAGTTTTTTCTATGTGCCACCAGCTTAAGGCTGATATTTCACGTGTCGTACGACAAGCTTTTTGGATACGTTCATTGGTTGACAAACGGAGAACCTAAAAATACTCTACTCGCCAACCAATAAACGTATCCGAAAAGCTTGTCGTATGTAAAATAGCACCCTAATGGCTCTTGCACACAGGACGCGGTAATGCTTGCCGCGTTCTGTGTGCAGGAGCCATTATTGCTTAAGTTTTTTCTATGTGCCACCAGCTTAAGGCTGATATTTCACGTGTCGTACGACAAGCTTTTTGGATACGTTCATTGGTTGACAAACGGAGAACCTAAAAATACTCTACTCGCCAACCAATAAACGTATCCGAAAAGCTTGTCGTATGTAAAATAGCACCCTAATGGCTCTTGCACACAGGACGCGGTAATGCTTGCCGCGCGGCGGAAGTTCACGCGATAGCCAATCAATATGCTGCTTTCCGTAATAACCTTCTAGCTCTTACGGAAAAGCAACATATTGATTGGCTGTCGCGCGGACTTTTGCCGCGCGGTAAACATTACCGCGTTCTGTGTGCAGGAGCCATAAGAGATGTAAGTAATTACACCGACGACAACCCTGTGATAAATGGCGAAGATACGTCTAAAACATCACCCGCTGCGTTGAAATGAGAGAGATACAAGAATAAGATAAATGCTGCGTTCGGAAACACACACTGTGTGCACACTACCAGACGATAGCCGTTGGAGTGAGCGAAATACAAGAGTGAGGTAAAAAGAGAGGGAGAGTACTCGAGTGACGTTTCCGAACGTAGCCAAAGAGAGAGAGAGCACCCGGATAACGTTTCCGAACACTCCCTGTATTATTACCGCATTTTTATCTTGTATGCAGAATTATATAAAGTTAGCCAGCAAATGATAACTTTTTAAAAAACTACATTATACATGTGTCATTACTGTCCATGAGTATACATATCGGCCAATTAAGGTAGTGATAGATTTAACAAACAAATGCATCTTACTTTTATATTGAAACATAGGCAGAATCAGCAGATATATAAATATTAGCAGAATGCTGATTATATTTCTGCAAATAGCAGAAATATAAATCTGCCTTAAAAAAAATACATATATATAAACGAAATTCAACATATTGCAACTTCTGTTAGATAAAAATAAATAGCAAAATAACTCAAAAAGCACTTGAAAGCTTGAAGTAATTGTTGCATTGGGTATTTTTTAAATCTGTACTGTTTATACATATTAAAATTATAACGTTGCTTCTGTTTAATTCTGATATAACTGTCACTAAACTTTATTTTATATATATATATATATATATATATATATATATATATATATATATGTATGTATATGTATGTGTGTGATATATAAAGAAATTTTTGAACATAGATTTTTATTTAAATTTCGTTTATATAAATTTCGAATTATACAAGGAGATGGCATGTAAAAATATAATAATAATAATCGTAAATTTGATTATCCAGTCATTCATTTTATCAAATTATATAAATATCTTAAAAGTCATAAATGCTAATGGAACTTTGCATGTGTATATATCTCAATATGCTCAATTTCATTTATATCCTAAAAGAAAATTACAATATTTTCGCTTAGTCGCATTCAGTCACCATCTTAATATTAATTTATATAATTATTAAATTATTTGATTTGTATCGTTGTGTTGCAATAAATTGCACTTATAGCAGTTTAATATTAATGGTAATATGTACTGTTCTAGCATCATAATCTTGACTATTAAACATATTTAATACTGAAGTTGTTTATACTGTTGTTCATACTAAAAGGCTCTTGCTCTCTATCTCTCTTGGTTGCGTGTTTTGTACTGGATTTCTCGAATACAGTAAGACAGCAAAGCACACCATAGCAATAGAAATCACAGTGTTTGTATTAATAGGTATACTAAATAGAAGCCAACAGAACAGCGCTGTAAATATTAATTCCATCGCGCTAGCAAATGTTTTAAGTATAGAATTTAAATTCTTCAAAAAGAAACTTGTTATTATACCAACGAATGCATTGTTTAACATAATTAATATCACTACGGGTTGTATAAACGCGCTAATATTAACGTCACTGAATATATTATTAAAACAATTTTCAAATATACCTAATGCAACAATTACTACAATGTTGCAGAAAATACTGTCAATGTACATAAATACATTTTGTACAAATATGTTGATGTCTGCACCTTGCTGTTTGAGTAAATACTCGTTATATACACCGGCTAGGCAAGAACATATTGTCTGAAAGTAAAAAAAGCCTTCAGAAAATCATTGTGCTACCAGTTACAAGGATTATCGATATGATGATCAATATACCTGTACAAAAATTAAAAGTAGAGAACTATCTATATGCAATTTGGTGTTAAGAACACTGACGTCAAAGTGCTTTACCATACAACCGACCGTCAAGAGCACTAAAGAGAACCATTGGGTCGCCGATAATTTTTTGTTAAAAATGACCTAGAAGAAAGAATTTGTATATTGCTCATTGCTCAACCACTGTTCCTCTATACATGTATTGAAAAAAAAAATATTTCTTCGATATGTATACCTGAAAAACGACTCCCGTGAATACAACACGAAGTTGCAGCAAAACATAGTAAGTCGTGGGATCGAATCTAGCCAAGTTAACAAACGCTAGATTGTTGTAGAGACAGTATAAAAGCGAAGGTATCATGTACAGCAAAAGTACTAAAATTAAATATTTTTTCTTAGTCTATTTTGAATCTCAATCATGCAGTGCAAAAATATTATATACAAATCTCTAGAATCACTATTTCTATCTCACCTTTTTTATTTGTTTTTATTTCCTTAAGTAAAGTAAGCATGCTATTGCTGAAAATTAAATTGAAAATAATGAATTAACATGTATAAACTATCCATTATACAAAAGTAAATATACTTAAGTAAGCATGCTATTGCTGAAAATTAAATTGAAAATAATGAATTAACATGTATAAACTATCCATTATACAAAAGTAAAATTCAAACCTGTTTCACTTACTCTTTACAATATAATATTACAGATATGATTAATTTCAAAACTTCTGTCAACAATACAACTGCTACAATGTTATATTCATAACGACCACTTCTCTGAGACCATGTCACAAGAATACCTGTAACAATTATTATATCTTATATTTTTCTTCTGATGCTTCTTAACTGGGCTTAACTTTACTACTTGGCTAACATACTGATAAATCAAATATAATAAAAAATAACATATTGCAATAATACCTGTAATAATATTAAATAACACCTATGTAAAAAAAACTGCTGTATAATCCATGATAAGATAAATAATGCACTGAACAGAAAATGTAGACAATACTGTAAATATTGATTGTTTAGTGAGTACTTATACATGTAAAATATATAACCTCGTCGTCTTTATTATTTGGAACAATTCTGCAACGTGATATAAATAAGAAAAACTTAGGAAACGTGTCATCGCACAAAAACGATGTACCTTGATTTACAAAGAGAGTCATGTAAGAGATAAAAATGACAGGAGTCCATCTTCCTGGGAACAATTCGTTCCAATTTATCCCAACCATTGCGTGACGACGTCGGCTTTTCTTGGTCGGTGACTTCAACCTTAGCGATTTTTATAAATCATCTTTGGCAGAGTCACTCCGTCGCCGGTATCAGTGTACAAACCAACACGAAGCGCTGGTGGCCGGATACTGACTGATACTACGTAGATTAGACGCATTCGCATTAGGCACTGTACGTGTGTGTGTGGCTCGGAAAGAAGCATATAAATATACATACGTATATACATAGCTTCTCATAATAAACGTGTATTTGCATCTATTACCATTATTGAATATCACGTCAAAATCGACAACTATATTATATAACTAAAATTTACATACATTATTTTAACTTAGTTTATCCAGTTTGTTACGCTTAACATTACATATAGAGGAAAAAAAAATAAATTTGGTCAATATAAGTTTAAATTCTTCATATTATGTTTTTATCATTGCAAAAGCGGCGATATCCAATGAATAATTTTTTCGCTATTTCTTTCCCGTAGAAGCTACGTAGGTTTGTTTTAAAAGCTTCACTATCTGCGAACATAATTCTGATAACGTATCGGTGAACGTCATATATCGGTTAAAGCGATGTGATATCGACTCTGTGTAATCTACAGTCAATTTAAATAATTGGATAACGTTCATAATAATTGGATACTGTTCATTTTGACAAAAATATCAAAATTGCAAATTTAACTATATCACTTATAAAATACTACAATATTTAAAAAATACTTCTAAAACGAATTATATTTTGATTTAAAAATATTATTATATAATAAAAATTTAATGTAAAATTAAAAAAGAGAAAGGAGACAAATTTATGTTTTTTTTCGCGCGTATATATAATCTTTTTTATATATTATCTTCATATATTTTTTTTATTTTATATATTATATATATTATCTTTATATTATATTACATGGCCTTTTTTCTTATATATACATCTATAAACATGTATTCGAAGTTATCGAGATACTAATACGTTTAATTTTAAATCGATTTTCGATTGTTGCTATGTAACTGTCCATTTGCACTTTTTCTTTCCAAATTATACATTTGGAAGCACGTACATGGAAAAGTTTTATCACATATACACATATGATGTGTATTAAGAATTTAAAAATTATGTATATGTTGAATAATATGTGTTCATCTGCATTGAGAGATAATACTTGTACTAACAATACATACATACATACACACACACACACACACACACACATATTTATATGTATATGTACATACACACATATATATACACATATATATATATATTATATATGTCCAATTTCCCAATAGATCCTTTATAATCTTCAAATACTGAAAATTGTTTCATCTCAATGCATCTGAATGGCTTATGTGAATAAATGTAAACAATGTCCTCAAAACATAATATTTGAACAATACCTGTAAAAAAATCCATTTATACTTATCGATAGAGCATTTGTTTTTGAAATTTGTATTGTCACAGATTATGATGAGGCAATTATTAATTTCTACAACTTATTACATACAGTATAGATGCAGAATTATACAGAATGCTTGAAATATGTCGCCAAATTTTAAAAACATATTCTGCATGGTCAGATGAAGAAAGCTGATATGATCATCTGACTCTTCTTTACCATTAAAATAAATAGAATATGCTATAAAAACTTGGATATTTACATTCTGTATACTTCATAATTGCAATATATCGGCCTTTTATACGTGCAGAACTACACAAAGAAACGAAATTATATTATTTCCCTTGTAGATTTAATTAATAATTATAATCATCAAAATATATTTTGCAACAAAAAGTAGTTAAAATATGTCAGAAAAACTATGACAACAAACAGTGCAAAGGGTATTTGCCTGCAAATATTGCTTTTAATACCCATTTAATGTAATTTATATCTTCAATGTAATTTATATCTATTAAAACATTTCACTATACAATGACCTACAAAATGCAAGTATTATTATAAGAGCACGTAGTAAATATATTAGAAACGCATTAGGACCACTCGCTGATAATTATTTTTATTCCATTTGCTACTTATTTACGCTACTCGTGAACACAACCAAAAAAAAAAAAAAAAAAAAA